TTAAATGATACACAGGAAGGAATGTTGAAGAGTTTTGGACTATTGATCATTTGAAACTGTTTTTCTTATCAGTTTACTTGTTTCAACAAAGTTTCTGTGTGTGAAAGAGCACTTTGGACATGTATGCTGGACACGCTGAGAGCAGTGCGGTCTGAACGTTCCCAGAGAACACTCTGACCTGACCTTGCAGCTTCTGTCTTCTAATACTGCTGCATCTGCATTATTTGATTTTATCTGTTAACCACTCCTACATGCTCCAATAAAAACGGACGCACAATGAAGCAATTTTAGACTTCGTTCTGACTTTGGTTGGATGTTGTCTCTCTTTGCAAAGAAATTGCGTCTATTATATCTCATCTCTGTTCTCTGGTGTGGTTATTATTTTTTAATAGGTGCTGGTTTTTTAAACAAGAAAAACCCCTACAATGTAAACTTTAGAATTGTGGGTGGTTGATTTGAATGTTGAACTCAACATTAATTGGGTGACAGGTCTTCTCAAACTACTTTGGGAGATGAGATGATTGACGGACTGACTAATGATGGGGCGCTAATGGGATGGGTTAAATATTAACGTTTACAGTATTATGGAGTGTTATGGTGATTTTTTTTCCCTTAAATTAACATTGTTGAACAAAATACTTTCATATGTTACATAGTTAATTATTACATTTTAATGATTACTGGATGATTTGATTATTTCATAACTATTTTGATGTGTGAGGGCATGAAAAACAATGTGTTTGTAATTAGTTTCAAGAGCAGATCATGATGAAATAATGTCACTAGATAGTGTAATTGTGATGATAAACTTAATTTTTGATATTGTCTTCTATGAAATAATTATTATTTTTTTACAGCTGACTGCAAAACGTGCCATGACGAGAGACCAGAGACTGGGGATGGGTTTTGATAAATACATAAAAAGGGGTTTTACAATATAAATTTTCTAGGAGGTGAACTTATGACATTTTCAGTCTAAATTGGGACTAAATTGAAGGGTGGTTGAATGGGTAAATTGATTTGTTGATTAATTGGTAATATGTTTTTGTATTAGATCACCAGGGGCAGTTGGGAGGTTCTGTTATTTACATGCAATATGCATATTAAAACACGTTAGTTGTTTAAATCAGATTTTATTCGCAAAAACACATTTTCTGCTGTGACAGGCTAAAAATACCAGCAGCACTCTGTGCAAATAAATTGGGTGATACATGATTGGAAGGAGACTGAATGGTTGTTTGTCTCGTTTGTCTCTATGTGGCCCTGTGATGGACTTGCGACCTCTCCAGGGTGTACCCTGCCCCTCACACTGTGAATGATGGACATGAGCACCGGCGACCCCCATGACCCAAAATGGAAGTAGCAGGTAAAAGATAATGGATGGATGGATGATTGGAAGGGAAGGGGGCACAGAGTTTTGTCTTTTTCCTTTCCAGCTGGACAAAATGGACCATGCCTGCCCTTGGAGTCAAAAAGAGAAGTTCAGGTCTGCAACTGATTTACATCTATTAGATAAGAATGCTTTCTTGCATTAGGACACCTTCTGCAATCATTAAATCATATATTTAGAGAACTGACTTTGACAAATATTAGAAATTTCCATAATGTCATATTTACCACACCAGGAGCGACTGTGGCTGAGTGGTTAGAGCAGTCGTCTTCCAATGCGAGAGTTGGGGGTTCAAATCCACCAGCAGTCACATGCCGAAGTGTCCCTGGGCAAGACACTGAACCCCTCATAGCCTCTGATGTGTGTCCCATCAGTGTATGAATTTGAACTAAAGCACTGATTAGTCTCATTTGAATGATTTGTTCAATTAGATTTGTAGAGACGTAGAGTGCTGTATGAATGGGTAAGTGAGGGCACAGATTGTAGTGTAAAGCACTTTGAGTATCTTGAAATAAGATAGAAAGGCGCTATATAAGTACAGTCCATTTATCATTTACCATTTACCAGGGGGATGCTGAAGTCATTGGCAAATGTCGAGAGCTGAGTCAGGTGACCTGAGTCTGGCAAGTCACTTGCTAGCCGTCAGCTCTGGCATTTTATTTGACCTGACATGGGCAGGTCACACGCTATAGCTGGTAGGCATCCCCCGCCAATATATAAGGAATAGTTTACATTCAACCAGAGGAAAAGTGATTAATTGCTTGCTTATCTGGCGGTATTGAACTGGGACTTTATTCGAGGGACCCTAAAGGGTTCCCTCGAACCAGGGGGAGTTGTTAAATATTTACCTAGACTGGTCCTGGGGTTGTGATCTGCTCAGAGATGGTATTATAATGAAATTATGACCCAGTTCTGACTGGGTTAAACTGGGCCAGCAACTCTAAAGGAGTCTCCCAGGGATAGGAACAGAGTTTATGTTTGCTTGTTACATCACGTAGAAAGGCTTTTGAAGTACCGTCTCATACTTCCTTACACATCAAATCACATAAGCTCCGTTGAGATCACACTTAGTCATGCCCCCTCATACACGTGACAGGTTGAGCTCCCCTTCTGCGAAGGGAGGAGTCTAGGCCGTTTAAATCAGTAATGACACGGGATATCTGCCCTTTTGGTTTGTGAACGTGTAATAGACTGGACTGGCCAGCGCTATAAACTGTAACCATTTCCTGTCTTGATTTTAATACAAAGTGGTAAAACTGAATTCATGTTTCCTTGATTTATTGTTAATATGAGTTGCCGCTTCTGAGGGAGGTTTGAGCCGGGGGGAGCGACGTGAGCTGGAGGCAGGTCCTGAGTCCGAGAGGAGGCCTGAGGTCCATGGTTAGCAACAACTAGCTGCAGTGACCGATGATCCACAACCAGCCCATGTCGTAACACTCCTTAAACAAACGAGGTGGGATGGAATCTGCAGGGGAACCAGAGGGCTTCATATGACCAACTGTGTCTACTAGAAAAGAGAAGGACACAGGCTCAAACTGATCAAAAATAGATGAGTAGTGTAAAGGAATAGAGGGATCATAGGAAGGCTGAGAAATACAAGCTCTGGATGACATAATTTTGTCAGTGAAGAAGTGGAGGAAACTTTCACAGACTTCATTGGAGGTGTCAAAACCAACAGACTTGGGAGCGAGGAAAACAATATCTAAGGTTTTGAACAGAACACTGGGGTTGTTACAACTAAAAGAAATTATGCCTGAGAGTTATTTGCTCTTCTCAGCTTTTACAGTCTTCTGATAGTATAACAGGCTCTCTTTGAAAATATCAAAAGAAACATGTAGCCTGTCCTTTTTCCACCTGCCCTCTGCTCTGCTGCACTTGTGCCTAGCAGCGCACGTGACGTCACTCAGCCAGGGCTCGGGGGCAGGTTTGGTGCGCCGGCTCGTCAAAGGAGCGATCGTGTCCAGTGTTTGTAAACAAACTGAGTGAAAATTGGAAACCAGTTTGTCAATATTTAAACAGAGTCTTTAGAGTTATCCTCACAGAGACAGACTAAGAAAAGTGGAGGAGAACAGGGCTGGAGAGGAGAAGTTAAACATATGACAGCACCGAGGAGGAGTGCGCAGTTTAACTGGACAGTGTGTGGGAATGTCAAATAGGATCAGCATATGGCCCGAGAAAACAGCATCACATATGTCCAAATTGGAAACATCCAGACCGTGAGACAGGACCAAGTCAAGTGTGTGCCCGAGTTCATGAGTAGGACCGGATACAGACTGTACAAAGTTAAAAGAGTCAATAACATTTAAAAAGCTCCTGGAGATCAGCTCTTCTGGGCTGCAGACATGAATATTAAAATCACTAACAATGAGAACACAATCATATTTAGGCAGGATGTCGGCCAAAAAATCTGAAAAGTAATTTATAAAATCCTTATTGTGCTTGGGTGACCGATAGATGACGATACACAAGACCACATGAGAGAGGCCGATTTCAAATGAGCAGTGTTCAAAACTTGTAAAAGAGGATTGCAGGCAGATCTGCTGGCATTTAAAATCGTTTTTAAAAATTACTGCTATTCCTCCTCCTTTTTGACCCGACAGGCACGGGGAATTAAAATAGTAGCAATCCGGTGGTGACAGTTCAAGAAGAGTGGTGGACTCACCGTGACTGAAAGACTTTCTGTGTTTGTCGAGAACGAGGTTGACCCGGTCCAATGTTACTGTAGCAGCCTTTCTTTTGGTGTTGATCCGAATGCTGCCTACTGGTTTTTTAGCTCCTGGGTTTTCAGGGCTAGTAAATTGGTTTTAGTGGGGGAATCCATCTCAAAGCATTTGTGCACCATCTTGTAGTGCTTTTCCATGCTTCTCATTTTAGATGAGGCTACGTTTTAGACTCTGAGGCAGCTGTGGATGAGTGGTTAGATCGGTCGTCCTCCAATGCAAGAGTTGTCCCTGGGCAAAACACTGAACCCCTCATTGCCTCTGATGTGTGTTCCATTGGTGTATGAATGCAGTAAAGCACCGATTATTCTTTGTATAGATATAGTAGAGTGCTGTATGAATGGGTAAATGAGGGCACAGATTGTAGTGCGCTTTGAGTATTTTGATAAGATAGAACGGCGCTAAATAAATACAGTCAATTTTACACTTACATCACAAATAAGACAGACTTCAAGTTCAAGAAACAAAAAACAGTCCTCTTCACACTCAGAAAGAAAATATTTGCTTGTTTGTCAGTCATTTTTGAACACTGATAACACAAACAACTTATCAACTGTCCCTCTTTACTGCCCTTATACCAGTGCCCCCACATGTATGCTCTGTTGCTAGGCAATGGCAGAAGAGATTCCCCCAGTTTGACAGGTGGCTGATAGAAAACTTTATTTACCTTTTCCTGTTGTTTTTAAGAACAGTTTAAGTGCATTTAGTAGGGTAGGTTGATAGAATGCAGACATAAAAATAATGTTAAACATTAAACAATAAGGGTTAAAAAAAATTCCCCACAAAAGGTACAATTCACTACAGACCAGTCTGTGATCAACGTAATAAGCACCCCTTGTGAAAAAGTAAAAAATAAAAATAAACAAAATAAACTGAAACACCACACTCACCTTTCCTAATACAGTCAACATCTTAAAGTCGATGGTCCTTCGATGGCGAAGAATCCGCAGAATCCCATCAAGATAAATCTGATCTTTGCTGAAGCAGCCTGAGACAAAAGCAAAATAAAAATAAATGGAAAAAGTACAGTCTTTGGTTTAAATGAGTTTGATGTCATTGCAGGAATGATCAGAAAAGACGAACACTTAAAAAAAAGAGCACCTTGTAAGTTCTGACACTGCTTTAACTAATCTTTGTAAATTAAAGAAATAAATAAAGAAAACATCTAATTGAAAACTGGGCTTTATGAATGGATTCAGAAAAATTGGTGAATCTTCAGGAGTATTGTCAACTCTTCTGTAAGGAAGTTAAGTTTTGGCTGGCCTAACTAGATGTCACTAACTGACGGCATAACCTACTTAGCATATTTGACTAAAAAGAAATATTGGCATGAAGAAAAAAAAGAGTAAGTAAAACAGCCAAAATATGTTTCAAACTACAAAATAACATTTCTTCTGTCCAAAAAAGTTAAATCTGGTCCTCTGGACATTCGACAAAACAAAACAAAGCAAATCAACAAAAAATGTAGAAACGTTTCGTCTCTCATCCGAGAGACTTCCTCAGTCTGAGGTGCTGTTTTCAGCTCAGTCTCTTAAATAGCACCTTCTCAGAGTGGATCAACCAGTTTTGCTGCTGACAACCAGAACCAGCTGATCACATGCTCAAGAAGGACCATCAGCCTAACAATGGATCATTAGCACACTGATGGCTGTTTACTGTTCACAGAGGGCTGAGTGATACTAGCAATCACAGCATTGTAAGAGGGGGACAGTTGAACCCGGAGGCCTCCACCCCTGTTTAACGATGGACGATTTCTTTTCACAAAGATGGCCTCCTTTACTCCTCTCTCAAACCATCGTTCCTCTCTGTCCAGGATGTGAACATCTTCATCCTTGAAAGAGTGACCGCTGGCCTGGAGATGAGTGTAGACCGCAGAGTCCTGGCCTGATGATGTTGATCTTCTGTGCTGGGCCATCCTTTTGGCCAGTGGCTGTTTTGTTTCCCCGATGTAAGACTGATCACAGCCCTCCTGACACTGAACAGCATACACAACATTGCTCTGTTTGTGCCGGGGGACTGGATCTTTGGGATGAACCAGTCTTTGCCGTAATGTATTTTGGGGTTTAAAAGCCACTGGGACGTTATGTTTAGAAAATAAATGTCTCAGTTTCTCTGATACTCCCTCAACATATGGAATGACCACTTGTCTGGGTCTGGGTTCCTCCTTTTCACCTGTTGGCTGGCTGGAGTCCTGTTTGGGTTTCTTCTCTGCTTTCAGGAAGGCCCAGTTAGGATATCCACATTGCTCTAGAGCCTGTCTTGTGTGGGATTTCTCCTTCTGCCTGGCTCCTGAGCTAGTGGGGACGCTGTCTGCTCTGTGATACAGAGTCCTGATGACTCCTAACTTGTGCTCCAAAGGGTGATGGGAGTCAAACTGCAAATACTGGTCTGTGTGGGTGGGATTGCGGTACACCTCAGTTTGCAAATGTCCTCTATCAGAGACTGAGACCTCACAGTCCAAGAAAGCCAACCTGCCATTTTTTACATCTTCTCGTGTGAACTTGATGTATTTATCCACAGAGTTGATGTGGTCAGTAAAATGTTGGACTTCCTGAGATTTGATTTTAACCCAGGTGTCGTCAACATACCTGAACCAATGACTTGGTGGTGTCCCTGAAAAGGACGTCAAGGCTCTCTTTTCTACCTCCTCCATGTACAGGTTGGCAACAATAGGAGAAACTGGAGACCCCATAGCACACCCATGTTTCTGCCTATAATATTGTTCCCCATATGTGAAGTAGGTTGACTGCAGGCACAGTTTCAAGAGTTGACACAAGAGACCATTGTTTCATCAGTCTCCATGATGACATCCCTCACCTTATCCACAAAGTCCATGGTGTTCTGTATGTGGTGTTCTGAGCTGCCAACTAAAGGGATGAGTACAGACGCCAGATATTTGGAAACATTGTAAGTGACAGAGTTAATCATGCTAACAATAGGTCTTAAAGGTACACCTTGTTTGTGGATTTTAGGTAAACCATACAGACTAGGTGTGGCCTCCCCTGGGTACAGTCTGTGGTACAGAATATGGTCAATAGCTTTGTCCTGTTCCAAACTTTTTCAGGCAATCTATCAACTTCTTCTTGTAACCACTTCCTGGATCTCTTTTCAGAGGTTCATAAGTGGTTAAGTCACTAAGGAGTGCCATAACTTTCTCATGATAGTCTTTCTGGTTCAAAATCACTGTGCACCTTCCTTTGTCTGCTGGGAGAATGACGATGTTTTTGTCCTTGCTAAGAGTGGTGAGTGCATCCCTCTCCTCTCTACTGATGTTGGAAGGTGGTGGTTTGGCATTGCTGAGGCAGGCTGAAACTTCTATTCTGAGTTGTTCTGCTTCACCCTCTTTAATGTTGTTGTTGCGGATGGCTGATTCTGTGGCTGTGATCATCTCCACCAGAGGCTTGGGCATTGAGGATCAAGAATTGTTTGGAACTGGGACTAACTGAAACCAGTTGAATAAACTTATGTCGTCATTTTAGGACTCTTGGATTCTCATAGTCATTATTCTTGGTCATTCCTCGACATACCTCGAGAATGTTTATGGCTCTCACCGGAGGACATTGACTGATTATTTCGTATGAACATGCTGACCGCTCTCATCTCCCCCCTCTGCAGAATGTCTATGTCACTATGTGCTTGTTTGTGCGAGGTGCTTTTTAATATTAGAGGTTTTTTTTCTCAAGCAGGAAAAAAATGTCTGATAGGAATTTTTTCGCCTCCAACTCCTAGGTGTCCAGTTTACCACCTTTTAGTCTGTCCAAACAGGTCTCACTTGTAAATGAGTCTTTGAGGCTCAATGTTATTTATATGTTTAAATAAAGGTTGAATGAATGAATGAATAAGGCAGCTAACAAATTATACTCAACTTAAAGTGGTAGGTTAACTCAAATGATTGATTTAAAGAAGGCTTTCGATACTGTTGATCATAATATTCTAGTTAATAAATTACATAAATATGGTATTAGAGGATTAGCGTTACAGTGGGTGTGTAGTTACTTGGAAAACAGGAAACAGTTTGTACAGATGAATGATGTGAGATCAGATCTCTGCACCATCACATGTGGAGTTCCTCAAGGATCTGTACTTGGTCCAAAGTTATTTATTTTATATATAAATGATCTGGTTAAGGTGTCTGGAATCCTCAAATCTGTTCTTTTTGCTGATGATACAACATTTTTTTGTTCTGGTAATAATATTGAACAGTTATTGGAATCAATGATGAATGAGTTTGTTAAAATTCAGAATTGGTTTAAACTCAACAAATTATCATTAAACTTTGAAAAAACAAATTATATGATATTTAGTAACAGAAATAAAACTATTGATGTTCCATTTTTAATTGAGGATTCTGAGATTAGTAGAGTTAATGAAGCTAAGTTCTTGGGTGTCATCATTGATGAAAATTTGTCATGGAGGCAACATATAAACTCTGTTAAAATGAAAATATCCAAATCTATTATGATATTTTATAGAGTCAGGTATCTATTGAATGACAGAGCGCTGTATTTACTGTATAATACAATTATTGTGCCACATTTAATTTATTGTGTTGAAGTTTGGGGAAAGGCGTGTAAATCAATTACAATGCCTATTTTTATTTTGCAGAAAAGAGTCGTAAGAATCATAACAAGAAAGCATTATTATCATCCAACAAGTATATTATTTTATCAAATGAAATTGCTGAAGTTCCATGATTTGGTAGACTATAATATTTTATCACTTATGTATAGAGCTCATAAAAATATACTACCTTTTAATATCCAAATGTACTTTGTGAAAAGATCTAGCTGTTACGATCTAAAAGGGAAAGACGTATTTGTTAAACCACAGTTTAGATCAAGTTTGAAGGGAAGATCTACCGTAATTCAGGGAGTTGGTTTATGGAATGACTTAGTAAAAGAGGTTAAGGATGCTATATCAATTTATGTATTTAAGAAACTGATTAAAATCAAATTGTTAAATGAATATCAATGATTGTATTTTGATGAGTATTGTATGAGAATTGTAAAATATTTTGATTTACTTACTTGTATTCGCTGTTTACAGGAAACGTTTGTTTGAATTGCTTATTAGATAAATAAGGAGCAGATTTAATAAGATTTTTTTCTTCGTCTGCTACCTTTCATTTTATATTTAATATTTTGTTGTTGTTACATATATGTTGATTATGTTGATTGTTATGTATTTATAAAATGAATAAATAAAATAAATAAATAAATAAAATGCAAACAAAGTGCTAACGTTAGCTCATATTTTTTTTCTTAGATAAACAACCCAAAATGGCTAATAATATTAGCCTGGCTCCTCAATGTGCTTCTTCATTCACCAAGGAGTTCTCCAAGGGAAACATGTCGGTGCAACTAATTGAATGAAGAGTGTCACAGAACGGTTACAGCATATACTGTGAAAAGGTTGCATCCCTTTTCAGATGTGGAATCACCAACATTTAGGTTAGTTAGGTTTGCAGGGACATGGTGAAAACCATCAACCCAAGTATACATCACCTACCATGGACCACTTGTCAAATAAGTTAATCATCTTGGTATAAGGTGGAGAAGAGCTGCTCTGTGCTTTAAACAGAAGATGGATGACAGTGTCTGGGAGCAGATCCAGCGAAAGATGATTGAGAAGGTGAAATGTTATTCACAACTGGCCTTTTCTGCTTTAAAATCTGAAATCTAAATACTAGTAATGTTCTTTGTGGTCAACAGAGGAAGACTGTGGAGATGATGGGGTCACCATGCAGTCTGAGGAAAGGCCTGAGAATGAGGGAGTGGAGGATGAGGAGGAGAGTGTATGATAGCTGAAATTATATACTGTAGATTCTCAGTCTTAATAATGATCATACCTTTAATAATCCCTTTTTACTGATAATACTGATGAACCTGTTGTTTGTTTAGGAACTGCCTCCCTGCAATCTGTCCAGAAAGTCTCCACTGGAGCAGCTTTTTGCTGAGGATGAGGCACCGAACATAATGTCACAGCTCC